TGTCACACGTGGCATTTCCACGGCCCAAATTAGTGTCACCTTGTTTTTTTTTAAGATTTTCTAAGCCTTCTGATGTTCACATTTTTGTAACGAACTTTCTCACACACTTTATGTAAATAACTCATTGTTTTGCATTCTTTTATGGAAGAGAAGAAATTTGGTGGACTGTTGGTTTGTCCAGTGTCATTGGAGAGGTGGCACTGTCACCCTCCAATCCACGGCCACTTTTGGAAATCTATAAATGTTGGAGTCAGAAATTAAAAGTTCTCTTTTTTACCTTGGAGAGCTGCATGTCCACATTGTTTTATTTCATGTCCTATAGCAACAAAGTCAGCATTTGGGGGAATTTTCATTTCACAGGACGTGCTACACGTGTGGCTCTGCCTTCCAAAGCAGAGCAGGCACCTCACACACTGCTGGGGCTGTCTGGGTGCCTCCTCCCCCCCAACAGGCACCCAAAAACTGCTCTGCTGCTTCTTGGGGTTCTGCCCTGCACCCCGGAGCTGCTGGGATGGTGAAGGGGATGGGGGCTTCAGGACAGCCCCCAGGTGCCAGTGTGGGGCTGGGAAGGATGGAGGGATGCATGGGATGTTGTGGGAATGAGATGGAGATCCTGCTGGCCTGGGATGGGAGCTGACACCAGCACCAGGTGAGGACACCAAGCCTTGGCTCTGCCCAGAGGTGCTGGGGGAGGGAGGCTCAGTGTGAACTCTGTCAGGCCTGGGGCTGGGACCATTGCCAAGGATTTGTGCAGCCAGATCCTGCATCATCAGCTGCCCATCACCTCCTGCCCTGCTGCTGCAGTGGGTGTTGGGGCTGGACTGCTCTGCTCTGCTCCTTGCCCTGGCACTCTGTGCCCATCCCAGCCTCTGGAAAAGCAGGGCTGGAGCACCAGGAGAGAGGTGTAGGAGGGAAAGATCCCTGACATTCCAGGTGTCACCCCACAGAGCCCCTGCTTCCCCAGCAGGGACCTGGCATCTGGGACCAGGGGGACGCTGGGGTGTGGGGGACAGAGGTGGCAGCTTGGTGCCCCCCAGCTCTGCCCCCTGGCCTGTGTGTGCCCAAGAGGAGTGGCTGAGCAGCAGGGCTGCAGCTCCAAGGGGGGATGGCTGATGGAGGCGCTCCTGCCTGCTGCCAGGAGGGACAGTGACAATTATCCAGGTGCTCAGGAACAGGGGGCTGAGCCAGCCCCGCGTTTCTGCCGGGGCCAGAGGATTCACCACCCCCCCGTGGGCATCCCAGAGCTGGGTGTGCCCTGCACGCAGGAATGGGGCCACCTGCACCCAGGAATGTGCTGCTCTGCATCCACGGGGATGGGTGAGCAGGTCAGGGATGAGCCTTGGGCACGGCAGGGATGGGATGGGATGGGATGGGATGGGATGGGATGGGATGGGATGGGATGGGATGGGATGGGATGGGATGGGATGGGATGGGATGGGATGGGATGGGATGGGATGGGAGCAGCTTTGGTTGAGAGGAACCACAACGCTGTCCAACCTGTCACCTTCTTTCACCTCTGGGAACCCCTCTGCTCCAGCCCCACAGCACTCCTGGATGAGCCAATTGGGCTGCCCTGGGCTGGGAGCAGAGGGGCTGGAGAGCTGGGTCAGCCCCAGGAGCTGCTGGCTCCTTCACCTCAGGGAACCCCTCTGCTCCAGCCCCACAGCGCTCCTGGATGAGCCACCCTGGCTCTCCTGTCCCCACAGGTGCAACACCCCCGGCATCCCCTGCTGTGAGGGGAGCCCCCCACCCTTTCCCATCACAGGCAGGGTCCCTCTGGATGCTGGGCTGGGGTCTCTGACCCTTCAGCACCACGGGGCTGGAGTGGGATCTCCCCCCCACTCACATCCCCCTGATGTGCTGCAGTGCTGGTGTGGCTGTGAGGAATCCCCTTTCCTCCTTCCCACCTCATTTTGCTCTCTCCTTTTGGAGGTTTTCCTCTTCTAATTTTTTTTCATCTTTTCCCTTTCTCCATGCCTGCCTGGAGGGGCTGGCCCTGCTGCACAGGTGGGGAAACTGAGGCAGCAGCTGAGCAAGAGCAGCTTTGGGAGCTGCTAAAGCTCCAGGGTGTGCTGGCAGTGTGGGCAGGGAGCTCACCAAGGGCTGAGGTGGCTGAGGGTGAGGGCAGGGAGAGGCACCTGCTGCAGGAAAAGTGCAGTGGGAGGAATGGAGCAGCACCAGGATGGAGAGAGGCACCCACGGGAAAGGCTCTGCAGGCTGGGACCCTCTGCTCGGCTCTGCCCTGAGGCGCTGGGCTGGGAAAACAAGGCTGGGAGAGAGTGAGAAATGTGGGAGGGTTTTGACTAAGAAAGGCAAGACTGAGGGAAAAAACATCCCCGGCTCCAAGTGGGCAAAAGGCTGCGGAGAGAGGAGGGAACGGCGCCCCGGGGCACAGGAAGGAGGTCATGGGTGTGTAAACCACAGCGAGGGAAATTTGGGATAGATCCCTGGAGAAACGCTCTGGGGAGGAGGGAGGCGCAGGGCAGCACTCAGCATCAGGGGATTTTGGGCTCAGGTCTGTCCTGAGGGCTGCTCTGGTGCCAGCCTGGCTGAGCCTCCCCGGAGCAGGGACACCGGGAGCTGTGGGGCTTGGCCAGCAGGTCCCCGGCTGCCAGGCAGGGGTCAGGGGACACAGCCCCCTCCCCAAGCCCCCCACGGCTGGGATGTGCCCCCAGGGCCGGCTGGAGCCCGTGCAGCCGTCACTGTCACTGTGGGTTGTGAAACAGAGCACTTGTCAGGTCCCGCCTGTATATTGTATTATATTTATTACATTATATTGTATCTATTAGGTTATATTATACTTTATTATATTATTAGAGCTGGCAGGCCCAGCACTTCCAGGCTGGAACCATCAGCTCCTTTAGTTGCTTGGGTAACCTCAGGCCGTCCCTTCGGGCCAGGAATGGGGCTGCAGGATCAGGATTGCGCTCTGATTGTGGCGTGAAAGAGCTGTCACAGGAACAACTGGTGGCACCGAGGGTGACAAAGAGCAGGAGGATGCAGGGAATGCAGTGACAGCGTTCCCCAAGCATGGCTGCTGGGCAGGGACAGGGCAGAGCGGGCAGCGTGGAGGGTCCTGGAGGTGGTGACGAAGGCACAAAGGTGGGGACACAGCGCAGACAGCTCTGTCCCCAGTGCGTGCAGCGTGTCCCCAGCGGATGGTGAGGAGGGGGATGTCGGGGTGCAGGCAGTGGGGTGGATGCAGGGGCAGGAGTCAGGCGGATATCCCCAGTGGGTTCTGCACTCTCGTGGGTGCCGGGCTGTGTGCGGCTGGAGGAAATAGCGCTGTGCTGCCGTGCCGGGCCAGGGGGCCGAGCCCCCGGTCACCGCATGCCGGTGGGGACAGCACCGGGAAGGCACCGGCTGATGGGCCTCGGGCTGCGGGCAGGACAGGCCCGAGGAGACCGGGATCGGGATCGGGATCGGGATCACGGTCGGGATCGGGATCGGGATCAGGGTCGGGATTGGAATCGGGATCGGGATCAGGGTCGGGACTGGGATCGGGATCGGGGTCGGGATCGGGATCGCCCCCAACGTAGGCGGGGGCGTGTCCCCCTCGAGGGGCGGGGCTGCGCGGTGGTGGGCGGGGCCCACTCGGGGTCTCCCCGACCGCGCTGCGGGGGCGTGGCCGAGGCAGGTGGGGGCGTGGCCCGTAGTAAAGGGGCGTGTCCCGCCGCGCGGCCGCGTTGCCCGGGGTGACGCGCGGATGCAGCCGGCACCCGTGACGTCACCGGCGGGGCGGGGCCGCTCCCCCCATTCATCCCCCCCGCGCGCGGAGCGTCCCGCGGGCGCCCATCCAATCAGCGGGCGGGGGGGCGTGGCCGTCGAACCCCTCCAGCCAATGAGGCGGCGGCGGCGGCCCGGGGCAACAATGGGGGGCGCCCGGGGCGCACGTGGGGCCGCGGCGGGGCCGGGCGGGGGCCGCGGCCCGGGCCGGGCGGGGGCAGCGCGGTGCCGGGGCTCTCCGCCGGGGCTCTCCGCTCCGCTCCGTCCCGCCCCGCCGCTGCCCCGCCAGCCGCGGGGGCACTCCCCTCCCCCGCCCTTCCCCCGCCCCTCCGGGCCCTCCCCCTGTGTCACGGCGGCGCCCGCATTCGGGAACGGGCACGGCGGAGGGAGGGAAGGAGGGAGCGAGCGAGCGAGCGAGCGAAGGAGAGACCGAGCGAGCCGCGGCCGCCCCAGCATGTGGCCCGCCCGCGCCGTGGCGGCAGCGCGGCGGCGGCGGCGGCGGCGGGCAGGTGCGCGGCCGCTGAAGCGGAGCGGGGGGGCGTAGGGGCGGGAGCCGCCCGCCGCCGCCCTCGCCGGCGCTGTCAGGTGCGTGCCGCCCGCCAGCATGGCTCCGCCGCGCCGCCGGACCTAGCGCCGGGCCGCCCGCGGGAGACTGCGCCCGCCGCGCCGAGGGCTCCCCACTATCTCCGTCCCGCTTCTCCCCGCTTTGCTGCCCCGCCGCCCGGCCCCGGAGCCCGCCGGTCCTCGGCCGAGGATGCCGCCCGCCGCCGCTCCCTCCGGTTCATCTGTTGCTGCCTGACCGCGCCGCCAGCCCGATGGATGCGGCCGCCCCCGCGCCCTGCCCGCCCGCAGCCGCCCCGCTGGCTACTGAGCCGGGAACCGCTCCGGAGCTCCGCGGCTGGTAAAAACCAAACCAAAACCAAATCCGAACCAAAAAACACCCCCCAGCTTCGGCCCGGACTGGAGAGGCGGCCGAGGACCATGCAGCGTGTCCCCCGGCTCGGCGCTCCCGGCGCGGCGCCGGGCACAGCCGCCTCCTAGAGCCGCCGGAGCCGGGGCTCCCCCGGACTCGGGGCTCTCCCCGCCAGGACCCGCGCACCCAGCGCCTCCTCCTTCCCTTCTCCCCTCCAGCCGGGCAGGGAGCCCGCCTTCGCACTCCTCTCCCTCTCGAGATTTTGGGTTTTTTGTTGTGTTTGGTTTTTTTTTTTTTTTTTTTGGGTGGAAACCGCCCGTAACTCCGGGGGGAGCTGTGGGGTGGCAGCGGGGAGGCGACCATGGAAGAAAAGCTCCAGGCGCATCAGGTGGAGATCGACCCGGATTTCGAGCCGCAGAGCCGTCCCCGCTCCTGCACTTGGCCTCTCCCCCACCCCGACTTGGAGGAGGAAGATGGGGGCGCGGGGGGAACCCCGGCGCTGGCGGCCGGCGGGGACGGAGCCGAGAACGCGGCGGCCCCGGTGGAGCGCAGAGTGGCCGCCGCTCCCCCGCCGCCCCACGGCGCGGATGTGGGGCAGCTCCGCAAGGCCAAGACCTCCCGGCGCAACGCCTGGGGCAACCTCTCCTACGCCGACCTCATCACCAAAGCCATCGAGAGCTCGCCGGAGAAGCGCCTCACCCTCTCGCAGATCTACGACTGGATGGTGCGATACGTCCCCTACTTTAAGGATAAAGGAGACAGCAACAGCTCCGCCGGCTGGAAGGTACCTGACCCCCTGACCCCAACCCCAGCGCAACTTTGCCCTCTCTCCCGGAGCTGTGCCGGAGCTTGGAGGTTTCTCCCGGGGCAGCCGGAGCTTGGTCCTGGCGGGGAGGTTTCGGGGGATCCCCGCCGTCCTTGCAGTTGGCGAGATAAGGGCTCGGTCAAGTTTAGGGGAGAGCTGGCGCTTCGTGGTGTGTCGTGTTGTGGAGCCGGGCTGAGCTTGTCCCTGTGTCACCCGCCGGTCTCACCCGGGCTGAGGGTCGGAGCGGTGCTGCTGTCCCCCCCGGCGGGTCAGGGAGGGGGACGGTGACAGCCAGCGGGGTCGCGGGTGAGCCAGCCCTGGGGACAGCGAGTGCCAGCCCTAGGTAGGGGGGTACGGTGGGTGATAACCGCAAGTACGGGGGTACGGCGGGTGATAACCCCAAATATTACAGCGGGTGATAATCCTGAGTACGGGGATACAGCGAGTGCCAGCCCTAAGTAGGGGGGTACAGTGGGTGATAGCCCCAAGTACGGGGGTACAGTGGGTGATAACCGGGATACAGTGGGTGATAACCCCGAGTACGGGGGTATACGGTGGGTGATAACCGGGGTACAGTGGGTGATAACCCCAAATATTACAGTGGGTGATAACCCCGAGTACGGGGGTATACAGTGGGTGATAACCGGGGTACAGCGGGTGATAACCCCAAGTATTACAGCGGGTGATAACCCCGAGTACGGGGGTATAGCGAGTGCCAGCCCCAAGTACGGGGGTACAATGGGTGATAACCCCGAGTACGGGGGTACGGTGGGTGATAACCGGGGTACAGTGGGTGATAACCCCACGGCTGCAGCTCTCCGGGTCGCGGCGTGCCGGTGGCGTGGCCGGCAGGGCAGCCGGAGGGCGGGCTGTCCCCAAACAGCTGTCCCCAAACAAACAGCTGTCCCCAGCCTGGCTTTCACCCGGGGCGTCCCCGCTGGCTCAGCCCCCGCCTTCCTCGCGGCCGCGTCCCCCTCCCCGGGGGCCGGGCAGGCAGCACACGGTCCCCGCGGCATTCCAGGCTGGCATTCCGGGCTGGCATTCCGGGCTGGCATTCCGGGCTGGCATTCCCCGGCTCTGCGCTCGCCTGGCACTGTGGGCTCGTTAGGATTCCCTGGCGCAGGCAGCATTCCCTGCTCTGTCGCTGCGAGTGGGGATCCATGGCACCGGTGAAGGTGCTGGGTCTGGGGTCACCCCTGCCCCTCTGCTGGGCTCTGCACTGAAAGGGGGAAGAGATCGGCTGTGTCCAGATGGTGTCAGTAAAAAGGAGCCAGTTCCTCTTAAGTCCTCCCCTAAGCCCTGTCACCTCCAGGGTGATTAGTGTCTTACCGGGCTCCGGGGGCTCCCACACCAGCCTGTGGCACTGGCACGCGTGTCCTGGCTCTGCTGGGGACAGCCAGATCCAGCCCACCTCGGGGGGTCGTTCTTGGGTGCAAACTGGGCTCATTTGGGGCAGGAAGGCTGGACTGTGTGGCTGCTGTTGTGTGGGCTGGAGGCAGCTGGTGTCCCCCCGGTGCAGGAAGGGCGTCAGGGCTGTGGAGGTGGCAGGAGGTGGTGCCTGTGTGGGGCCTCTCCTACCTTCACCTGGGGTGAGACCTGCACAGCCCTGGGGGAAAAGGGTCTGCCAGTGCTTGCACACCGTGGGGACAGCAGGGGACATGCACTGGTGGGGTCTGGAGATGTGTCAGGGGGCTGGGAGGGCTGGGATGAGGAGTGAAGGGATTCCCAGGCTGTCACACGTGTCACTGGGGGCTTCACGTTGTGAAGGATGGAGGAGAGGCTCAGAGTCCAGCTGCTGTTGGGCACCAGGGTCATTTTCAGGGGTTGCTTGCTCAGCTGGGCTCCCCTGTGTGCACCCCATCGTGGGGTGCTCTCCCCTTTCCTGGCCCATCTCGGGCTTGGAGCTCCTGTGCCGTGGCTCTGCCTGGGCTGTGGGCAGGTGCTGCTTCCCTCCTGGAGCCTGCCTTGCCCCCGGCTTTGCACTGGGATTGGAACCCCCCAGCTGGGCTGAGGAGTGTCCCCTGAAGTGTCCTGCCCACCCAGGGGTGCCCTGGAGCCTCTCCTGGCGCTGCAAGTGCCCAGTGCCCAGCTGGGGCTGGCACTGCCAGGGCTGGCAGCAGCCAGAGTGAGAAGCAGAGACCCCCCTTTGCGTGATGGTTTCATCAGACACCAGCACGTCAGGGGTTAAACACCTTCCCCACAGCCCGTGGTCCCTCCTGGCTGTCCCCTGCCCTGTCCCCTCCCCTGGGTGCCCCCACTGGGCAGCTTTCCCTGTGGCCCCAGGCCTGGGAGAAGCATGGCAGGGCTTCAGCTTTTCATTGCCAGAGTCGGAGGGAGATCTTGGCTGCTTCTTTGGTTGGTTCCTTCAGAGCCTCGTGGTGCTGGACAGAGCAGGATGGTGGGGTCTGGGGGCCCAGCATGCCCACGGGCATCGGCTGTGCTGCTCCTCTGGCAAGGCTCTGTAGGATCATGGAGTGCTTTGGGTCAGAAGGGACCTCAAAGAGCACCTCACCCCACCCCTGCCATGGGCAGGGACACCTTCCACTAGACCAGGTTGCCCAGAGCTGTGTTCAACCTGGCCTTGAACACTTCAAATCCCGCTCTTGACCTCTCCAAACCCTCTCTGCCTTGTGCCAGCAGTGGGGGGACCTTCACAGGGAGACCCCTCCCTGCATGCAGCTGGCAGTGGGGGTGCTGGAGGTGCAGCTGGCTGTGGTGTCTGCTGTGTCCATCAGGAATGTGTGCCCCAGGCTGGTGGTTGTCTCTGGAAAGGGAAGGCTGTTGGCAGGAGTTGCATTTTTGGGGTCAGGCCTCTCCTTCCCCACCAGGCTGCGCATTGCATTACATGGTTTCATAAAATCACAGAATCTTGGAATGGTTTGGGTTGGAAGGGACCCTAAAGCTCATCTCCTTCCACCCCCTGCCATCACCAGGGACACCTTCCACTATGCCAGGGTGCTCCAAGGGGTGGAGCAGGGGGCAGGGATGGGGCAGCCACATCACTCATGGTGAGGCAGAGGGACAGAGCCCAAACACCGTGACCATGCCCGGCCTCGGGACCAGCACCAGCACCAGGACCTGTCTGGGTCTGCTGGAGAGCTCAGTGGGGACGCTCTGGCTGCTGATCCTGGGGAAGTTCATGCCCCAGGGCTGAGCTGGCTTGTTGGGCTTGTGCACCAGGAGCTGCTGCTGCTGCTGCTGCTGCTGCTTCTCAATGCAGGGCAGCGGGCGCCCGCTGACTGACAGTTCTGCTTAATTAGGGAGTTGTTATTTTATCAATTCCAAAGCGCTTGAAGTTTTCTGCTCCAGCTCACGCTTTCCTCTTGTTAATGGGAAACCAACACCCTCCGTCAGAAAGGCAGCGGCGCTGATGCATTTTAAAGGGTTCTGCTTGCTCCGCTTTGACATCCAAAATATAACAATCAAGCCATCAGCTGGTGGATGCCTGTTTGATGCGGCTCTGACAGTGCTGAAAACCTTAATTTCCCAGCCTTCCTTCCCTCCTCCTCCTCCTCCTCCTCCTCCTCGTTTATATTGCGGGGTCGGTGGCGTGGCGGCCGTGCCTGGCATGGGGGCCGGGGCTGCCATGCAGAAACAGCCCCCTGCCAAGTGCCACCATCCTCCTGCAGGGCAGGACAGGAATTAATTAGGCAGAAAACGGTGTGGGAATGGTGTGTGAGTGGTGGTGTGGTCAGGGCTCTCATTGCTGCTCGAGGGTTTGGGGGTTTGGGGTGCCAGGCTGTGTCCTCTCCCTGAGCTATGGGCAAGGGGAAGGTCCTGCTGGGCACCCCGAGGATCCTTCCAGGGAGCAGCTCCTGGCTCTGTGCTCTCTCAGTGGTGCCACCCCCTGCCCTTCCCCTCTTGGATGGGGACAGTGCCTCTGGAGCCCTGCCCAGTGTGGCTGGAGAGGCTCCAACCCAGCGCCTGGGAGCGATGGGGATGGCTCTGCCCTCAGGATGGCGTGGGTGCTGCCCCTGGGGGTGGCACAGCAGTGAGGGGGCAGTCACAGGGAGGGTGGGGTGACCTGGTTGTGGGGTGATCTGGCTCTGGTGCACTCAGGCTGGCTCCTGTTTGTGCTGGGTTGGTGGTGCAGGCAGTGCCCGGCTCGGGGTGGGCACAGCCCAGGGCTGAGTGCGGGCTGGCAGCTCAGGGCTCCCCTTGGGCACTTTGGCTGGGCTCAGCTCGGCCATGGATCCCATCCTGGCCTTATAAGGAGATTTTTCCAGCAGCACAGAGAGCCTGATGCTCCCCTTGGGCTGCCCTGGGCTGGGAGAGCCTGGTCAGGAGCTGCCGGTTCTTTCACCTCGGGGAACCCCTCTGCTCCAGCCCCACACTGCTCCTGCATGGGCTGGCTGGGCTGCCCTGGGCTGGGAGCAGAGGGGCTGGAGAGCCCCAGGAGCACACAGGGCTGGGGGAGCTGCTGGTTCTTTCACCTCGGGGAACCCCTCTGCTCCAGCCCCACACTGCTCCTGCATGGGCCAGCTGGGCTGCCCTGGGCTGGGAGCAGAGGGGCTGGAGAGCTGGGTCAGCCCCAGGAGCTGCTGGCTCCTTCACCTCAGGGAACCCCTCTGCTCCAGCCCCACAGTGCTCCTGGATGAGCCAGTTGGGCTGCCCTGGGCTGGGAGCAGAGGGGCTGGAGAGCTGGGTCAGCCCCAGGAGCTGCTGGCTCCTTCACCTCAGGGAACCCCTCTGCTCCAGCCCCACAGCGCTCCTGGATCTGGATGAGCCACCCTGGCTCTCCTGTCCCCACAGGTGCAACACCCCCGGCATCCCCTGCTGTGAGGGGAGCCCCCCACCCTTTCCCATCACAGGCAGGGTCCCTCTGGATGCTGGGCTGGGGTCTCTGACCCTTCAGCACCACGGGGCTGGAGTGGGATCTCCCCCCCACTCACATCCCCCTGATGTGCTGCAGTGCTGGTGTGGCTGTGAGGAATCCCCTTTCCTCCTTCCCACCTCGTTTTGCTCTCTCCTTTTGGAGG